AAAGAGCTGTGTAACCAAAATAGCTTGGTACTAGCATAAAAACAGACACATAAACCAATGGAACAGAATAGAGAACACAGAAATTAATCCATACATCTACAGTGAACTCATTTTCAACAAAGGTGTCAAGAACATACTTTGGGGAAAGAATTCTTTCTTCAATAAATGGTGCTAGGAAAACTGGATACTCACAGTAGTAGAATGAAACTAGACCCCATTTGTTGCCATACACAAATCAAATCAAAATGAATTAAAGACTTAAATCTCTAAGACCTGAACCTATGAACCTACTAAAAGAAAACACTGGGGGAAACTCTTAGGACATTGGACTGGGCAAAGATTTCTTGATCAATACCCTTACGAGCACAGGCAACAAAAGCAAAAGTGGACACATGGGATTACATCATGTTAAAGAATGTCTGTACAGCAAAGGAAATAATCAGAGTGAAGAGACCAACAGAATGGGAGAAAAGATTTGTAAACTGTCTGACAAGCAATAAATAATGATAGTATATAAAGAGCTTAAATAACCGTACAGGAAAATCTAATACTTTGATTAAAAATGGGCAAAATATCTGAATAGACAGTTCTCAAAGGAAGACATAAAAATGGCAAACAGGTATATGAAAATATGTTCAACATCACTGACCATCAAAGAAATGCAAATGAAGCTACAATGAGATATCATTGTAGCCAGTTAAAATGGCTTTTATCTAAAAGACAGATAATAACACATGCTGGTGAGAATGTGGAGAAAAGTGAATGCTGTACACTGTTGGTGAGAATGCAAATTAGTACAGCCACTATGGAGAACAGTTTTAGATATTTCTCATAAAATGAAAAATAGAACTACCATGATCCAGCAATTCTACTGCTAAGCATATACCCAAAAGAAAAGAATCAAAGAGATATCTGCCCTTCCATGTTTATTGCAGCACTATTCATAATAGCCAAGATTTGGAATCAACCTAAGTGTCCATCAACAGATGAATGGATAAAGAAAATGTGCTACATAGACACAATGGAGTACTATTCAGTCATAAAAAAGAACGGAATCCTGTCATCTGCAAAAACATGAATAGAACTGGAAGTCATCATGTTAAGTGAAATAAGCCAGGCACAGAAAGACAAACTTTGCATGTTCTCACTTATTTATGGGAGCTAAAAAATTTAAAACAATTAAACTCATAGAATGTAGAATGATGGTTATAAGAGGCTGAGCAGGGGCGGGGAAAGTGAAAATGGTTAATGGGTACAAAAATACAGTTAGATAGAATAAATATGATTAAGTATTTGATAGAATAACAGGGACAGCACAGTCAACAATAATTTATTACATATCTTAAGATAGCTAAAATAATATAATTGGATTGTTTGCAACACAAAGAATGGATAAACGCTTGAGGTGATGGATATCCCATTTACCCTGAAGTGATTATTATGCATTGTTTGGCTGTATATCTGATGTACCTCATAAATCTATATGCCTAGTATGTACCCACAAAAATTAAAAATAAAAAAAATTCTATAACAAAAAAATTTGCAGAGATTCAAATAAGAATACTGCAAATTGCCCATGCATGGTGGCTCACAACTGTAATCCCAGCACTTTGGGAGGCCAAGGCGGGCGGATCACGAGGTCAAGAGATAGAGACCATCCTGACCAACATGGTGAAACCCCATCTCTACTAAAAATACAAAAATTAGCTGGGCATGGTGGTGCGGGCCTGTAGTCCCAGCTACGTGGGAGGCTGAGGCAGGAGAATTGCTTGAACCCGCGAGGTGGAGGTTGCAGTGAGCTGAGATTGTGCCACCGCACTCCAGCCTGACACCTAGCGACGGAGCAAGACTTTTGTCTAAAAAAAAAAAAAAAAAATACTGAAAATTAATTACTAAATTGAAAATTTGCCCAGTTTATTGGTCTGTGCCATGTTGATTCTAAATGCAGGTTCTCCTCAATAAGGTACATTTTATTTAAATAAGTGCAAGTTAAAATAGTTAAGTATACCTTAGCCTTCTTAGCTGGAAATCATATTCCTTGAAGGCAGAATTTGTGTTTGCTGCAATGAATCTCTCACAATGTCCAGCATATAAAGTCCCTTGTGTATTATATTAGTTTAAAAATTTACTGTATTAGTAAAAAAAGATATTTGCTAATTATTTGAGGGCAGTGGGTGCTTAATCAATGCTTATTTAAACAAATTTTTTGTGCCTCATTTTTTGGGACTTGTGTGCATTTTTTCTCTATGACCATGGATGTAGTTGGAAAAGCAAATCAGTTGCCTACTTAAAATTCTTCATTAATTGCCTATAACTTTTAGGCCTCAAATACAAGACCTCAAATTACTTCCCTGGCACACAGAACCCTCCATATTTAAGTGTGGTCTCCGGAGCCTGGCCCCTCAAAGACATCCTGGGCTTTTGACTGTACACCTGCCTATTGTCCTGGCTGCCTGACGACCCTTCCTTGTCCTTACTGGGCAATTCCAATGTACCCCCGACAGGTTCCCCAATCCTTTCTCTTTTAAGGGCAAGAACTGTATTTTCTATCTCTATATTTATGATCCAGAAGCTGCTCATTTATAATGGGTGATCAGAAAACATCTGTTGAGTTGAATTAATGTGTACTCATGACTAGAAATTCTTTACATAATACCATGTGTATAATTTAACTGCCTGATATTTGAAAATGCAAAAGTATTTGTTTTTTGAGATTACTTAAAATATGTGACCCTTCAAAAGGGGCTAGCTTTAATATTTGGGGAAGTAATGCTTCTTGAAAGAGTTTCCCTTTAAAGGCCTATGAGCCTCCTATGACTTGCTTATCAAATGCCAGTTCTATGACACTAGCATCTGAATAAAGTGCAAATAACACCATTAAAAACTGGTGATTCATTTAGATGGGTCATCATGTTTTTAATTAAACTCTTTATTAGTGTGCAGTAAAGAATAATGCGGCCTGGCGCGTGGCTCAAGCCTGTAATCCCAGCACTTTGGGAGGCCGAGGCAGGTGGATCACAAGGTCAAGATATCGAGACCATCCTGGTCAACATGGTGAAACCCCGTCTCTACTAAAAATACAAAAATTAGCTGGGCATGGTGGCGCGTGCCTGTAATCCCAGTTACTCAGGAGGCTGAGGCAGGAGAATTGCCTGAACCCAGGAGGCGGAGGTTGCGGTGAGCGGAGATCGCACCATTGCACTCCAGCCTGGGTAACAAGAGCTAAACACCGTCTCAAAAAAAAAAAAAAAAGAATAATGCTTACAGTGGTCATAGACCTGAGCACATTCCCCAAGTTGCTAGTAGAGTAACAATTTTGTTGCAAGCTGAGAGGGCCACCAGTCTGAGCAGCGGGATTTTTCAGCTTCAGTGATCTCACAGTATAGCCATTGTGATTGAGATTACTATTTCCTGCAATTGTTTTCTAAAGAACAACTTTTAAAATTCAGGTTACACATTGATGTAATTTGGACTTAAGTTTGCAGTACATTAGCCAGGCGAAAACAAGGTAACAATAAGAAAACTTTCCAGGAAACCCAATACTTTGAATGAAAATAAAAAAGAATTAGTTGCAAGATTTTTACTAAATGAGTGCTTTAAAAATAACACAATTTAGTTAATATTTATTTTTCTTTAGCATAATCTTCTTGGTTATAATAGTTTTTACAAGAAAAAAAGCAGATGATTTTTAAAAACATAGATATCTTCTGATAAATTCCTAAGAAAACTTTAGGAACAAGTCATGGCAGTTTAGCATGATGATCTGAAATTGTGTCATTCACACAGAAATTGTAATGTTCTCCTTGATGTCAGATCAACATGTTCAGTACTTGGCAGGAAAAAAAGTGAGTGATTAGAGTGGTGTTAGTCCATTTGTACTCAAATACAAAGACGGTTAAAGACAGATGGACAGAAACAAACCTAATCCAGTATAAAGGTAACAATAAAGGGAAAAGTAAAATATAATTTGTTTTTAGACTAAGGGAGTTTAAATTTAATATGTGTGATAAGTAGAAATTACCTTCTCGCCATATTTTCTCTCACTCAACTAATAATTATTGCCAGGAAATGCAACGTTTTGAGCTGCGGACAGTGCTAGCCATATAAAAACGTATAAAACATACTGCTGTACCTTGAAGGCCTCTTACAGCTGAGAAGGTAAGATTTAAAAGATGAAAAGAGCTCAACAGAATAATTAATAACTAACATTTGCATAGCAGTCACAAGTTTAGAAGGTATTTTTACATACCATTTTATGTGTTTAAAAGTAAATTTCAGCCGGGCACAGTGGCTCATGTCTGAAATCTTAGCACTTTGGGAGGCCAAGGTGGGCGGATCACCTGAGGTCAGGAGTTCAAGACCAGCCTGGCCAACATGGTGAAACCTGGTCTTAAAAAAAAAAATAATAATAATAATAAAAGTACATTTCTAGGTTTCGTTCTTCTGTTAGAATTTCCTTTGGCCTTGGAAAACAGCATTAAATTTGGGATTGTGATTATTTCTTAGCTTTACTTCAGTTTTCTTAACCATTCTTATGGGTTCTATTCCCTGATCCTTCCAGTTTTTATGATCCAACGTCTTATTACTTCAATGGATAATGCCTCTGAAGTTGCAAAGTGAGTTTAATTTTTTTTTTTGAGACGGAGTTTCGCTCTTGTTACCCAGGCTGGAGTGCAATGGTGCGGTCTCGGCTCACCACAACCTCCGCCTCCTGGGTTCAGGCAATTTTCCTGCCTCAGCCTCCTGAGTAGCTGGGATTACAGGCACGCGCCACCGTGCCCAGCTAATTTTTTGTATTTTTAGTAGAGACGGGGTTTCACCATGTTGACCAGGATGGTCTCGATCTCTTGACCTTGTGATCCACCTGCCTCGGCCTCCCAAAGTGCTGGGATTATAGGCGTGAGCCACCGCGCCCGGCCTAATTTTTAAACCTATAAAATACGTTTATATGGAGACAGTAACAGATTCTGGATTTTTTTTTTTTTTTTCTTTTTTGACAGGGTCTCACTGTCACCCAGGCTGGATGGAGTGTAGTGGCAGGATCACAGTCACTCCAGACTAAACCTCCCTGGACTCAGGTGAACCTCTCACTTCAGCCTCTCAAGAAGTAGTTGGAACCATAGGCCTGTGCCACCACACCTGGGGTAATTTTTATACTTTTTTTTGTAGAGGTGGAATCTTGCTATGTTGCCCAGGCTGGTCTCCAACTCCTGGACTCAAGTGATCCTCCTCCCCTGGCCTCCCAAATTGCTGAGATTACAAGTGTTAAGATCCTGGAATTCCTAGGACAGAAATGATTATAAAGGTTTTATCATGTGGTCAGATCATGTGACCTGATTTCTGAGAAAGTATTTATTTACCTTATCTACCTGTGGCCTCCATTTCCTTGTCATTCAATTGATAAAAACTTTAATCTGAATTTTCTATTATATATGTATTCTGAATATGTAGTTATATGTAATATATGTTATACATACTCTGAAATTATATTTTCAAAGGTGCTCTTATTATCAAATCTGATAATCTTTTTTCCCTCTTCTGTTTTACTTAACCTCTTTCCATTCTATTCATTGGCCTTTCTTCTTTAAGTATTGAGGATTCTAGAGACCTAGACATTTAAAGTCTCTAGAACCTTAAGATCTCTGGGCCTTGAATTTACTACCTGTGTACTTCCAATAGCTTATATTTTTGTCTCCTTTCTTGAATCCTTCTTAGCCCATCACCAGCCTTATTCTTCCAAATCTTAAATGGCCTTCCTTGTGGGCTGTTTGAGCCACACACATTTCTTTAAGGCTCAGAAATATTCTCTTTGCATATCCACCTCCACTCCTCAGTTGTAGGATTCTTCCCAGCTCAATTACTGCCTTCCCCCAAGCTTTCATTCAACTCATACCTTCTCTTTATAGCTTGCCTTGCCCACAGTAATTTATTTTCCTTTAAATTCTAAAGCATTTGACCCTCACTACCTCATACTGTTAATTAACTTTGTATTCATATCTCATCCCCCATAGAACGCAAGGTCCCTGAGGATAAGTGGTGTACTTTAGCTTTTTTTTTTTGCTTGGTAGGGGACAATGAACATAATGCTCAACACATATTTGTTACCTAAAAAAGGTGTATTTTTCATGATGTCAATGTAATCTCGCTTAGGTGAGTATATTTATCTTTTTCTTTTCTCCTTTTGGCTCCTGTTTGTGAGTTTGATCATTCTTGTTATAAAATTACCACATGCAACCTTTTGAGAAGGAGTAGAAGAATTAAAAGATGGCAAAAGCAGGCCTATGGGAAATAGTGGTAATGCATATGTACAAGGTTACTAACTACTACGGGCCACTCTGCTCTGCATTGCAAGATTTGTTTCAACAGACTCAAGAAATTGAAGTTCAGCCAGGTTAATCTATCCAAGGTCTCACAAAAAGAAAATGACTCTGCTGAGTTTCAGAAACCCATGTCTGCCTGGTTCCAAAGGGCAAGTCAGTTTCAGTGCTGGATGACTGAGAATTACATAATTTCTTGAAAAAGCACTAGGCACAATAGTTGGCGTTCAACAAACGCTCACACACACACATCTGCCCTGGACTTGGGTCTACTTAGGAGGGGAAAAAAAGTTTGCTGAAATAATTACACTTCTTTGTAACTCCCAGGCTCATGTTTGACTACAATAATCCGATGCCCTCCTTCACACTGACGTTAGAAAAAATGCCTGGCAGTATTTCAAATCATCATGGCTACTTTCCTCTCGATCAAATAACTAAACTTATACTTTAAAAGGAAAAAAAGAAATTTAGAAAGTTGCCTTCAGCTGACAAGAGCCTGAAGGAATCCAGTAATTTACTCCTGTGAAACTGAATTTATTTGATGCCTAGGTTTCTCCCCCACCCGACGAAGACCAAATACTTCTGATCCATAAGGAACTTTACAAGGTAAACTGAGGGTCCTGGCAGCATCTAGGCTTCCCTTAATAAACGTCAAAATCAAGCGCGCTCGCCTTCCTCTCGCCGCTTTTCCCCCTTAAGGTCCTCCAGAGGCTGCTTCGCTGCGGAAAGTAACACCGCGTCGCCGCCGCGGAAAGTGGGGCAACTTTGCCTATCAGCAGAAACCTTTTGTAACCATCTGAGGCGACAAACCAGACCAAACGCCCGCTCAAGCTGTTCTGAGCCTCCCGGGAGCGAGCGAGCTCAAACTTCTCTGCACCGCTTCCTCATCCGCTCGCCGCACCTGGACGCGGGCGGCGCGCTACCCCCGCCAGTGACGTCACCGCACCTGGCACCAGCCGGGGGGTCGGGGAGAGAGCCCTAACGCGACCGGACGCGGTGGGGCGGGGAGAACGAGGGCGTTCTCGCGAGATTTGCCTCCTCCCGGACCCAGCTGCCCGCACCTTCCCGGCCTGTGTGGGTCTCCACCGTAGACTTGGAGGTCGCCTTCTCTAACTTCTAGTACTAAGGGAGGGGCGAGGGGCGAGGGGCGAGGGGCGGGCTCCGAGGCTGGGTGGGTGCTCCGGGTTGGAGCGGAGGGCCAGGGAAAACCGGCGGGTCCATCCTTCTGCGGGAGAGGCCAGGGTGGGAAAGCCGCGGTCTGGGTTGGCAGGGTAGGGCCCTCCCGCCGCCGTGGCTTCGGTGGAGGCCAGGCGTGAGGAGCTGCGGCTGCCTCTGCGTTCGCCGCGCGGACCGCATTGAAGGGACTGGCCGGAGAGCGCCGCAGACGGATGGAGGCAACTCTTCGCCCCGCCTAAGGTCAGGAGGGGCTAGCGCGGAGCGCGGGGTCCGCCTCCAGCCGCGGGAGTGCCCGCGCGAGCCACTAGAGGAGGAGGAGGAGCGGAGCTCGGCTTCTCCCCGAGGGAGCCCCCAGCATGGGTAAGAGACTCGGGCGCTTCCCGCCGCCGGTCCGGACCTTCCAGACCCGGGAGGCGGTGCACCTTCTTGGCCTTATGGGGAGGCGACGGGGGTCAGCTCTTGAGCGGCAGCACCCTACCTTCTTCACTCTCCCCACTGTCCCTTCTTGCCTTCTTGCCCTGCCTTCCACCTTGCTCTCCTCGCGGAGAATCTAGTGAGACAGCTCTCGGGTGCTTTCCCTCGCGCTGCCTTCTCCGCCTCTTTTCCTGTTCACCAGAAAGGTGCGGGATGGGGGGCGGGGGCTCCTGGCCACCTCTCCGAACCCCTGGCCCAGCTAAACTCGGACCTGATCTTCCTTCCCTTCCTCACCCCTTCCTTCCCTCCCCTTCCTCGTGTGATGGGGGAGGGCAATCGAAAAATTTGACAAAGTAGCATTTTCAACTTCTTTATTTTCTTCGAGGCTTTGTATATGTTTAAGGAGAGAGATAAATTTGTTCAAAAAAGGTATTTTCCCCCCTTCTATAACTCGAAAGGGATGCCTCAAGGACGGGAAAGCTTGAGTATTTGTTTTACTCCGGTTCTACCTAGGCAAGTGTGTTGGCACTTAAGCATTCAATCTGCTCCAGAGGACTGGCTTGGGACTTCACTGTTGGATCCTCTAGGAGCAGTTTCCTGTTTGGTGTTAGACTTCCTTGAGGGAGGAGAGAAAAATACAAGGCCTTATATGTTATTTACTATGTGCTTTAAAGTTTTGTTTGAAGTTAGAGAAGGCAGAATGTGTGGCAGTCTGGGTTGAAAAGAAGTTTTGTTAAGTGATGTAACAATTCTTTTGATAACAAAGTTCGGTGTGGGCTAGGCATTAACTCCCTCAATCCTTTAAAAATTAAAAGCAACTTAAAAAAGAATAGCTTAAAAAAAATCAAAACACTCTCTGCCTTTATAAGGCAGAGCGTGTTCTGTAAGTGTAAACCGAAGTTTGATTTTGTAGAGCAAATCAGGAGGACCCTATCACTTTTTGCAGTTGAGAGTTGGTACTGCTTCATATCACAAACCATCACCAAAATGAATAATTCATGTAACTAACAAATGATTTAGAAGCAGGACACATAAAGACTGCTCCTGATGTGGTACCCTCTGTCCACAGTTTTCTTTGTGGGGGATGTTTTGAGCATATTGTTTATAGACACTGGCCTAGCCTCTGTTTTCTTAGACTTTTCTAATTTTATGTTCCCTCCTCCACCTCCCTCCTGCTTGCAGGTAACTTTTATGCTCCAAGTGCTCTTGAGCTTAAAAACAGTGAAATAAGACATTTACTATTTGGAATTTTCAAATTAATTATTTTATAATTGATTAGTTGAGCTTGCAGGGTAATTGTGGGCTTATTCTTTTAAGCATCAAATTACAAAATCACTTTAACTGCTTTAGATTAAGATAATCAAGTTAAATATACAGTTCTTTTCCATCTTAAATGGGATGCAGAATATAATTAAACTTCTTTGGATGACCTGGGGATGCAATCTTGGATCGCATATAGGGCTGTTGAGCTAAATTCTAAATAATAATCGTTTGCATTTTGAAATTATTTAAAGTAAGTACTTTTTTTTTGCTTTGCTGTTGGATGTGCTTGTAACTGATTAGTGCCCCCCATAATCTTCCTTTTTCTAATGTTTTTAGAAGTGTGGAAATCATATTCAGGTTTGTGATTCTGCACAGGGGGAAAATCAATATGCCCTTACTTAGTGTGTGAGGTCGTCTCTTGAGAAAGTAAGTGTATGCCAATACTTGGATACTGCAATACCTATTTTGATTGCCCAGAGGCTTTTTCTTCGTGATTTATTTGTTGTGTTCTGTTTAGGTGAGTTTTCATATAGACTTGGATATCAGTGTTAGTATACCCTCGAGTACTTAGAATGTGTTTTACTGGGGGCATTTGTGGTAAGTTTTGTAAAGTGTTTGTGAAACATTTCCATATCAGTGTATTCTCAAGTTCATTGGTCATGTAATAATAATAAAATTCTCAAGTTAAATTAAAAGGAGTTTGCTTTTTAATATAAATCTCATTTATTTGGTTTTCTCAGCCATCCTTTTTTCTTATTATTTTAGATGCAGTCTAAAATATTTACGTGATATTTTATGTAATTTGTCACAAAATGAAAAAAATCTTATTTTTTTTTTTATTTAAGAAAACTTGGATGCCTATTAAATGGTGGTTCTTTTTTTTTTTTTTTTTTTTTTTGAGACGGAGTCTCACTCTGTTGCCCAGGCTGGAGTGCAGTGGCACGATCTCAGTTCACTACAGACTCCACCTCTTGAGTCCAAGTGATTCTCCTGCCTCAGCCTCCCGAGTAACTGGGACTACAGGTGCGTGCCAGTATGTCCGGCTAATTTTTTGTATTTATAGTAGAGATGGGATTTCACCGTGTTAGCCAGAATGGTCTCGATCTCCTGACCTTGTGATCCACACTATCCTTAGGTGGTACAGCTAGAGAGTTAAAAGCATGGGCTCTGGAGGGAGACTACTTGAGGTAGTCTTTTTCTTCTACTTACTCGCTGTGTGACTGAGCACATTACTTCTCTGTGCTAAGGTTTCTTAATCTATAAATGGAATAAAATATCAACCTTATAGGTTGTTACAAGGATTGAATGAGTTATTACTTGTAAAATGCTTAGAAATTGCCATTGCTGGTGGTGGTTATTTTCATTTTCAGATGGTTTCCCTAATTCTTTTTTTTTTGAGTTGGATTCTTGCTCTGTCGCCAAACTGGAGTGCAGTGGTGCATCTCGGCTCACTGCAACCTCCACTTCCCAGGTTCAAGCAATTCTCTTCCCTCGGCGTCCCATGTAGCTGGGACTACAGGCCCATGCCACCACCCCTGGCTAATTTTTGCATTTTTAGCAGAGACAGGGTTTCGTCATGTTGGGCAGCATGGTCTCTATTTCTTGGCCTTGTGATCGCTCGCCTCGGCCTCCCTAAGTGCTGGGAATACAGGTGTGAGCTGCCATGCCTGGCCTGATTTCCCTAATTCTTGATACCAACTTGGGAAAAAACAATTCTCAATTTTTGACCTTTGTTAGAAGTTGGATATTTTCTTTACATAAAGGACCACTGAGATGAGATGATTTTGTATTAATGCAGAAATTAAATTTTATGTAATGTAACCTTACAGAAATCATGTAGATACTTTTTTCAATATTGGATGTACTGTGTGAAAGTCCATTATTGGTAAGAACTTAGTTGCTTACGAAAAACCCTTAAGTGGGATGAATACTAGTAGAGTTAGTTAAATTTTATGTTAAAGTAGTGTTTTTAGTGTCTACATTTTTTAAATGTGGTAAAATGCCTATTGAGAAATTTGAGGCATTCTATGTGAAAGAATTTGGGAAAAGTTCCAGGGAGACAGACAGACAATGATTATTTTTCTTATTCCAAAAATACAGATTAGCATTTTGGAGCAGAATTAGGCAAAAAGCAAATGGGACAAAGTGTCAGACCGTTTCTAGAGCACACAAAAGAAATATTGTAAATTTTTATTTTTGAAAGAGTAAGCAGATTACTAAGGGCTGAAATTCTCTTAATAATTTATATAAGGTGGTGAACTTTTTATTTATAAGCTCATGTATATAAAACATAACATTTTTTTTTTTCTTTTTGTCTGAGATGGAGTCTTACTCCGTTGCCCAGACTGGAGTGCAGTGGTATGATCTCGGCTCATCGCAACCTCTGCCTCCTGGGTTCCAGTGATTCTCCTGCCTCAGAGTAACTGGGATTCTCAGCCTCCAGAGTAACTGGGATTACAGGCTTATGCCACCACACCCAGTTAATGTTTGCATTTTTTGTAGCGACAGGGTTTCACCATGTTCGTCAGGCTAGTCTCAAACTCTTGACCTCAGGTGATCTGCCCACTTCGGCCTCCTGAAGTGCTGGGATTACACTTCACTCAGCCTCGTGGTGGTTTTAATAGACAAATTTGCAGTTGCTTTAGATGATATATGCACTTCTATAATAGAGTGATTTTTTTTTTTTATGTTACTCTGTTGTACTGTTTGGAGAAAATATTTCTAAATTTTTTATTTATATGTTATTTATTTATTTATTTTTAGAGACAGGGTCTTGCTCTGTTACCCAGGCTGGAGTTCAGTGGAATGATGATAGCACACTGCAGCCTCTGCTTCCCAAGTAGCCAGGGCTACAGGTGCACACCACTGCCTCTGGCCTAGTTTAAAATTTTTTTGTAGATACAGGCTCTCCCCGTGTTGCCCAGGCTAGTCTCAAACTCTTGGCCTCAAGCAGTTCACCTGCTTTGGCCTCCCAAAATGCTAGGATTATAGCCATGCCACTGTACCTGGCCTGGATAAAATCTTGATTCATACAGATAAGTAGTTGCAAATAGAAATTGCATGCTACTGGTTCACCTTTCTGTATAAGGATTTACTTCAATTAAACTACTCCAGAGAATATTATGAAATTTTTCTTTCAAAGTTGAATCACTGGCAAATGTAATAATTCTTTTTCTTATTTGTTAAGTATTTATGATCAGTTTTTTTTGAGGTTTCAAAATTTGAATAGTTTAAATTTTATAAAAT